TTTGAATTTTTTTAACTGTTTTTTTTTCCCCCTAGTTACAGAATGCTTCACTCAAGTGATGGCAGGGAAGTACAAAGTCAACAGTTTACAAAGGGGCTTTAAAACTACCTACTTTATTCCTAACTTTTCTAAAAGTAAACACTGCAAAATGTTAATTAATCACAATCACGAAGCACTGTAAAGTGACCACCTGTAATTTATTTTGCTCTACTGTGCAATCTGTTGGGATGATATCCTGTTGCAAACTGTGCCTAGTCTGATTCCAAAATCTGAACCCGTGATTATTTTTTTAATTAAAAAATTCATTTCTAGAAAATCTTCTGAATTTAAGTGGCTTAAAAAATTCATTTCTAGAAATTCTTCTGAATTTAAGTGGTTTAATCCATCCTAAATCTGATAAGTGAATAAGAAGAGGGATGGGAACTCGGCAATCAAACACAGGCACCTTACTTTAAAGGCCTTCTTTGTAAGTAAAGCCTTGAATGGAATTTGCCCATCACAGCATATACCCAAGAGTATCTGTTACTATGAGGGAGATCACAATCGTTGAGATTAGTGGTAACCTTTTGATTTTAGCCCAGCGAAGGGTGAAATATATTAATATTAAAAACGCAGAAGCAGAAAATAATTTTTTGTGATCTGCTATCATGTATATCTACCAAAAGGATTTTCAGCTTGTCCAAAATAGATAATTTCCCTGAAACATTAATATAACTTCTTAAGAGAGGACTTCATGACATAGAAAATAGAAGTTAGAAAATGAAAGCATCTTTGGGAGCATCACCCTTGTCTTAAATCAATGAACTATGTCTTTTAAAAAAAATGCCATCCAATTTTTTTTCATAATGGCAAACATCAACACAGCAAAACAGGATGCAATTTTTCTAAATAAATAAATCAATGATGTGTCAAAAATTAACAGATGAGTTAATATACTCGGTGCTATCAAAACCAGATGGTGCTTCCTAATATTCATCCTGCTCAGTCAATCCCTGAATATTTTCTGGACCATCGGTATATAAAATAGGATGCTGCTATTTGTGATGGCAAACAAAAGCAATCATGCCTGCCAAGCACATACTATAACAGGCAGCATTTCAGCTCTGCTAGACAGAAAGTAATTAGAATGCTTTTAATGTCCAAAAGAATGATGCTGATAGGCTGCCACAGATGTGTAGATTTATGAATATTTATATGGTGGTTTATAGCTGACACTTTTATCAGTTGAAGAAGATAAAATATCTGCCTGACTCAAAAGCTTGACAGTCAGGTTAATAAAATCTCATTAAAGAGAATGACCTATGCAATTATATAGGATTTATTGTAATTCATTTTTGATTGTACTCTGCTTAAAGATGCAATTTCCCATTTCCTGATGCCAAATTTAGGCTGCATATCAAGATCTACGTGGGTTTTAACTCTAAGCCTCCCAGAGAGGAAAAATATGCTTTTAAAACCATGGTATATTACCCCTTTTAAGGAAAATTATACTCTTCATGAGATTTTATAGGAATGCTGAAAAATCTATTTTTAATCACATATTTCTCCTCTCAATGGCTTATGGCTCTTAATGGCAAATAAGATTCACTTCAACCTTTTCATCTTTTCACTGCATTTACTCTGGATGCTCAGTTATAGCTCTTCTATCCTTGACTCGATTCATCACATGGATGTGTTGACTATTTTCCGTTTACTAGGTAGCTGGAGCGGCTGCAATAACACTTTTGTGCGGGTGCAACAAGCAACTGCCACCCCTCCCCAGCCCCCTCCCCAATATGCTGAAATGGTGTCTGTCTGGGCACACATGCTCATTGGTTCAAAGTGGAACCACTAGTTTCTCAAAGAGCCAATCAGCTCTTCAGGTGACTGTCCTTCTGATGGCCACTCACATCTCTGTGCCAGTTAAGAGACGGCTTTGTCCATCAATGATTCATATTATGACCACAATTCATGATGTCTAGTGCTATGGCCTTTTTTTTTTTTCTTTTTTGCTGCCAGACCATTTTCCTCACTGCATGGAAGAAACCTACCATCCAATTCCTGTCTTTCCAACAAGCACATGGCATCCTGCCCTTGTTGCTATCAAGCTTACCTCTCTATGACCTTAAAGAAGAAATAAAGAAAAGCAGCAGCCACAGTAGCCTTGAGAATAAAAGGAAATAAAAAATATAGGGAGTTTGAGGGGGCATCAAACAAAGCCCCCCTTCACTCTTTTAGATGCAGTGATGTTGTGATTTCCACCTCGGGACAGAGACGAAATTAACTAGGACGAAACACTGAAAGAGGACATTTACAACAAGGTGAAAAGGAAAACCACACAAACTCCTTGTGGAGGAAAGACAGCAAGGACACCGTCAGAGTAGGAGGGAGCACGGAAAGGACAGCAAGTGGCTGGTGTAGAAAAAAGAAACAATGCAGGAAAAAGAGCAGGAAAAAGCAAGGTTAAAACTATGGATGAAAATGGAAAGGAGGGGGCAGATTTATAGTGTATAAAAGGAGGTAAAAGATTGAAAGACAGTCAACAAAGACTGAAAAGAGAAAGCAAGATGAGATTAAAGACTGAACAGGCAGATTAAAAGGGGGGGAACCCCCAGTGAACATGGTGGAACTAAGGTTATGCAAAGGGGTAGGCAAAACATAGAAAATGGGAAAAAGACCCAAACTGGGGAGAAACAACATATAAAACAAATATAAAGCAGAACGAGGGAATAAACATGGGCATGAATCAGAAGAAAATAAGACTCCAAATCCAGAGAGAAAAGAACACAAACCTTACTAAGAAGGGGAGAACACAGAAGAAAAATAACGGACAAAATGGAAGTGGGTGAGTAGCCTAACAATGGATATAAAACACAACAGAATATCGGGTCAAGAGCAACTGGAAAAAAAAAAAAAAAAAACCCCACCAAAAAACCAAAACCAACAAACCACCCCACAAACAATAAGAACACCTACATAAGAACCCCACTCAAAGCCGTCAAACATCTCCAAATCAGTGAGAGATGTGACAGAACAAGTCTTCACTATTACCTGTAATTAGATTTTCTTTCTCAAAACCAATCCTTCGTGCGTCAAAATATTGACAAACAACGTAACAGCACAGGCATCTATAACTCATTTAGAGACAATGCTCATATTTTCATTGGGACAAAAGCCTTGGATCCACGGATACGCAGAATTGGGGGGGGGGGCTCTAAAATGCCACGAAAGGCCTGAGCAGGAACTTTTAGTTCTCAGGAGCGAGATAAACGCGGCTCTGCGCCCGGAGGGAGCGCAGAGTGCCCTCGGGCGCAGGCCCCAGGCTGTGGCCTTTCTACCAGCCCCCTCCCCGCAGCCTAACCCGAACGAGAGCTGGCTTTTCCCAGGGGGCCTCCTGCAGGCTCCCAGGGGAGAGGAGCCTAGTTCCCTGGGGTGGGCGCTCCCCACCAGGCCTTTCCTCAGGGCTGGGGCTCAGATGCTCTCGAGGCGCGGTGCGGCCCCATCCCTCCGCGCGGGGGGCGTGCGCGGCGGGCCCCGAGCGCCCGGGGGAGGGGGCGGGACGGCCCTCTCCCCAAAGTCCGCCGCAGGGCCGAGCGCCAGGTCCACCCGCCGGGCTGGTGCAGAGGACCCCGCTCTCCTACACCCACGGGCCGGGACTCTGGCGTCGGTGGGGAAAGAGGGCCAGAGAGAGCAGAGACAGCGGGCGCACGAGAAACACGAGCGCACAGAAAAAGAAGAGCGAGCCCAAGAGCCAGCCGAGTGGACCGCGACAGAGTAAGAACGCCTCGAAGAGGTGGTGAAAAAGAGGACCGGAAGATAAGGAGGGGGAGAGAGAAGGAAAAACAAGCGGAGAAGAGAGAGAGATAAAGGAAGAAGTGGAAGGAAAAAGTGCAGCAGCCCAGAGTAAAGGGAGGGCGTCCCCGAGCGCCGTCAGAGCAGCGCCAGCCTCTCCCCGAGCGGCCGCGGCCGCCACCCTGGGGTGTCCCGCGCGCGACCTCGGCGCCGAGGCTGCCTCCCCGACCCCCCGCCCGAAGGACCCCGGCCGCCGACCGCCGCCGCCCCGCTTCCTGGGCGCCGAGCCGATTCTGAGCGCGGAGCCACCTGTTAGGAGGCGCGCTCGCCGTCGGAAGCTCCGCACGCGGCGGCGGCGGGGAATCCTCTAGAAGTTGCTGCCCGTGCGTGGAGGCCTCAGGGTTGCGCTGCGACGCCCCGACTCTCTCTCGGCCCGGACCGCGCCGGCCCCTCTCCCCCCGCGCCCCTCCCGCCAGGCCCGGCGCGCGAAAGGGCGTCCGCCATGCCCAGCTTCTGGTTCCCGGGGCCCCCACCCCTCCCCGCGGCCGGGCGGGAAGGAAAGTTGCGCCCAGGAGTTGGTACCTGCACTGAGCTCCAGGCTGGCGCCGTCGCTGCCTGCGCTGCTGCTGCCCGTTGCGGCCGCCGGGCCCGGGCCATACCTGACGACGGCGGCGAAGGACGAGGATGAAGAGGCGGCGGGGGACGCCGGCGGCGGCGCCGGAGTCCTCAGGTGGCCCTGGGACGCGGCGGGCGTGCAGGATGGAGACGACGAGGAGGCGGCGGCGGCGGCCCGGCCGGGCCCGGGGGGGTAGGAGCTCTGCGTCTGGAACTGCGGCGGCGGCGGCGGCTCGCTGCTGCTGATGGAGACCGCGGCGTGCGGCGCGAAGGGCGGCGGGGGCGGCGGCGGCGGCCGGACGTGCGGCAGCTCCACCAGGGTGGGTCTGTCGTAGCGCTTGGCCAGCGCCGGTCTCTTGCTGGGGAACGTCTTGAGGACGCTGTAGGGGCTGCGCTGCTTGTAGATTTTGGGGACGCTGGGCCCCTCCTCCGCCGGCTGCATCTCCTCCTCCATCCTGCGCCTCGGGGCTGGTCCCCGGTCGCACGCCCCCTCCCCGCCGGGCGCCGGGCTCCGAGGGTGCCTCCGCCTCCCGCCCGCCGGCTCTGCCCGAGTGCGCGCGTGTGGGAGGGTGTGTGCCTGTGCCTGGGCCGCCGCCGCCGCCGCCACTGCCGCCTGTCGCTGAGGCTGGCATCGCTGAGCCCCCGCGCGGGGGGCTGCCGCCCGAGCGCTGATTGACAGGCCGCCTCGCCAATGCCTGGAGGGAGAAAGGAGGTAAAGAACAAGTGTTTAGGGTAATATCTGCTAATGATAATGGGGGCGGGGGCGGGGCCTGGCGTCGCCGCCGCCGCCCGTGGGGTCCGCGCGCCGGGTGTGCGCCTCCGACGGGGGGAGGGAAGGGAGAAGCCGGATCCCGAGAGCGCGCGGGTAAACAGGGCGAGGTCCCGGCCAGCGCGAGACTTTGGAGCCCCAGGTGCGGACTTGAAGCTTTTGCCGTTGCGGGCGGGGTTCAGCTTCGGAAATGAGCTCCTGGCGCCCCCTACGTGACCCCAAACTCTCGGGGTTGCACAGAGGGGCTGGTAGTAGTTGGGGCGGAGCGTGTGTGCCTTGGGAAGGTATTGCAGCCAGTTCTGCCCCTCGGGAATTGCTCCCCCAACCTTTGGAAAAGAACACCTTGAAGGTCTTGACCTAGGGTCGCTGCGCGTTGTTTGCGCGTCTGGGGGTCCGCCCACACCCAGCATGTGACCTTTGAGCTCTTGCAGATCCCACGAGCATACGGGCTCTCGGACTTTAACATTATTTTATTAATTTCCCGTAGGGGCCCCGAGAATGTAGCAGAATCATTTACCCCATTCTACAGATGAGTAAACAGAGGCTCCGCGAGGTAATTGCCCAAAGCCAGACACTCCGGAGTGTGTGGCTGAGTGCAGACATGCATCCAGATCATTTGAATTCATATCCTCACTTCTCATAGCACGTAGACTCTGTGCAATTGAGGGAAAAATCTGACCTGATACCTCCCTTTGGGATGCTGATTAAATACTTTCAACAGTGTCATTTGATATATAGGTAAATGTGAGAACCAAGGTGGCCCGATTGCTCGTACCCTGTATTGCCCAGCAAGCTTCTCACTGCATCTGGGGCCACCAGGACAGTGTTACTGGAGGACACAAAATTCCAGTAATTGTCTGAATGAGAGAAGAGCTTCTGTGGTTTGGAGGAGGATCCCCATGGAGTAGAGATGTCTTCAAATCAACAGGAGTGCCCTGGCTTCTCCCAGAGGCTCCTTGGAGTAAATCATCCCTCTCCTAGGCTGGCGCCAATGCCAGCATACTCCCCCCTCCCAGGATTGGTTTCCAGCCTGTCCGTCTTCATTCCTCAGGTTAGGAATCTGGGTGCATCTCCTCCTTAATGTAGGAGTCTCCTCTCACCACTCTGAAGTTACTTTCCTTATCGGAGTTTTCCTTTCAGTCTTGGGAAAGTGACCCATTTTCCCCTGGGGGTTCAGATCCTTCGCCTCTTATTTCCCATATCTCCCTTACCTTGGAATCCTCTCTCTGCTGGTTGAGCTTCTGTGTTCTTCCACCCAGGATAGTCTCTCTCTCTCCTGCAGCTTCCTCAGATCATGCTGAGGGTACCCCCCTTCCATTTATTAGAGATGAAATAAATAATGCCATAAATAAAAGTATTTGGGAGTCCAGGAACTGTCAGAGCTGATTAGGGCATAGAGGACATTTTCTTTCTCATTATGCAAAAGCATTTCATGGGGAAATAAAAGAGGTTTCATTGTAACTCATGCATGTCATATTTCAAGGAATTCAAGATATTAATCATATTTAACATTATTTGCAACGTTTCTCCCTGGCTTCTGAAAACTGCTAAATGAGGACACGTGGATCACTAGGAAAAAGGGAGACAAGCATGAGAGGGACAGTTAAGAAATAATGAAATGCTGGTAAAAGGGAGAGGGATTGAGATGCCAGAGAGATGTTTCTTAGGCACATAAGTGAGAAATGGGGGAGCTTCTTCTGAGACGTGAGACAGCTGAAATTGAATGATATAGTGGAGGAAATAAATGATAACAAACCTCCCCACACTTTTCTTTCTATAAAGCAGTTCTGAATTTTGCATTGAATGTTTCCCTCCCACTTTACTCCCAAATAATTTGCCAGTAAGTCCTGGCGTTTGAAAAGAAATTGGGGTGGTGGCAGTGTTTGTGTGGGGTGGCTTAGAGGGGAGAAATTCTTGAGTCCTTCTACTGAAGAAGTAATTTCCTATACCTGAGAGCTTTCTCTTTTTGGTTATGTATTTTTAGTTTGTATCATCCTCACCACTTAAACACCTTAAGAGACTGGGAACAGTACTTCTGTTGTTATATTTCACCAACTAAAAGGACCTGTCATCCTATACATCAGAAAGTAGTCATTTCTATAAAACTGAATGTTAAAACTAGTGGTTTAGCTTTAAAAGAAAAGGTGGGGAGAGGGCTCCTAGTAGAAAAAATATTAGAAATTTAGAAACAATCAACTTACAGATCCTCATGCTAACGGTCACCTACGTCTGGGCCCATAGAAAAATGAAGTGCTTAGTAATCACTCTTGAGAAAATAAAATGGGCATTTATTCCAAGTGTGGAGTTGGACTCAATTTTAAACTTGTAACTGACCACTAATCCCTGCCTGGGATTGTACTTAGCTGAGTATTGTACATAAATGTAATGTATAGAAGTGTTTATAAAATCACTGGTAGCACTTTGTAAGCATCTTTCTCTAAGTTATAGTCTAAATTATCAGGTGGTGACTTTGCTGATATCTTCTCTTTAGGGTCTCCTGGGGGCTGTTAGGATGGTAATTACACCCATGCTTTAAATCTCCTTAGATATTTACTCTTATCTCAAAAAAAAAAAAAAGGTAGTGAGCTTTTTAAAACCAAGTGGCTATTTATGGACAGGGTGATTTTTGATTGGCAGCATGTCAATTCCTTGAGCCATCCAGAATATAGCTTTTAAATAATAAGTCAGCCATGGGAAATGCTTTTTATTGCACCAATTTCAATGATATTTAATGAGCTTCTGATTGACTGTTTGATCTCCCAATGTTTTGTGCTACTTTTAATTCATTTCGTATAATAGAAAAAAAAGTAATTGGAATAAAATTTTGTGACAAGATAATGACCTTCCACTTTGAAATTAAATGTCTGATTAGCTTCAACATTTTAATGCTGCGATGATATTGCGGCAGGAACAGGAGTGTGCGTACCATCATTTGGTGGGAAAGAGCTGAGGAATACTCCTTTGCTTTTCCCACTGCATGGCAGAGAGGGTGGAGTGGGCACAGAATTATAGACTCGTAGTACTAGAAGAGACCTTCATGGTCTTTTATTCTTGTGACTGATCCTATGCCTATAGCTTTTCTATGACATTGCTAAGTGGTTGTACAAACCATGCCTAAGTACTTCCTGTCCTGGGGACCTCACTACTTCCGGAAGCATTATTCACCCAAGGATTTGTTGGTTGGTTGGTTAGTTTTTTTTTAATTCAGCTTTATGCCCAATGTGGGGCTTGAACTCATGACCCCAAGATGGCATGCTCTACCAACTGAGCTGGCCAGATACCGCTCTCCCAAGGATTTATTCACCAAATATTTATTGAGTGCCTACTATGTGCTAGGTACCTTTCTAAGCATTGGAGGATAAAATGGAAGCAGATGCCAAGATCCTACTATTATAGAATTGGTGTGGACAGGTAATAAATAAGCTGGAAACTAACCAAACAATATATTACATTTGCATAATATAATAAGTAAATATATTACTTATATATATAGTTAATATTATACTAATGCAGTAAATAAAATATATAAAACGTATCTAATACATAATACTATTATTGATCATATTTCCGATAGAAATAACTATGATGGAAAAAATAGGATGGGGATGTTACTTTTGATAAATGGTTTGAGACGACCTCTCTGAGGTGGACCAGTTGAGCTGGGAGTTTACTAGTGAAAAAGAGCGAGCCATCCGTGAGAAGATCACTCAAGGCTGAGGGACAACAAGTGCAGGAGCCAGCAGGTGGGAACACGTTGGATGTTCTCAGGGAGCTGAAGCAAGGGCAAGAAGTCGGAGTGTCCGGGCAAGGGGCAGAGTGAGGAGATGAGGCCCTGGGGCAGGCTGGGCCCAGCGTGTGCTGTTATGTATACCTTGGGAAATGTCTGGCGTTCATTTGAAATGCCATAGGAAGCTTGGAGGTGGTGAAGCTGGGGAGTGACGCGACTTGATTGACGCTCTTAAAAGATAATTTTCAGAAAAGGTAAAATTATGACTCTCATATGTACACACAAAAAATGAACAGATGTTAATGACTTTATTTAACATGTTCGACGCCCTCATAGTATTCAAAGGAAAAGTCAAAAAAGCACAAATTGAAATGGAATCGAGGAATGTTGAATTGTAAGTGCAAATGGTTTTTCTATGCACAAACTGGTTTTTTCCATGAGGAGGTACAGGTGAGGGGGGAAGGGAGCCTTTACCGGACAGGACAGTTTGCATGTCTGTCAGTTATCTACACTTTCAAAGTTGTAAAAGTCATTCGAAGACAATGAAGGAATAGAATCCGATAACTTGGAAGGGTGTGCTATATGGAGACAATGCATAATTTTCCACCAAAAGACAATTTCTTTTTCTACAATGCTTTTTTAAGAAAAAGCTTTGTTTTCTAGTAATTGCAGATTTGCAGGACATTGCAAAGATTGTACAGAAAGGTCCTGGGTAGCCTTCATTCATTTCTTCCAATGGGTACATTTTATGTAACTATAGTTACAGAAGTGGGATCATGCAATATGTGATTTTTTGAGATTTTCCACTTAGTTTAGTGCCCTTGAGCTCTCTCCATGTTGTGTATATCAGTAGTTTGTTCCTTTTTATTGCTGGGCTGTATTTCATACTATGGATGTCCCACAGTTTGTTTAACCATTCACCGATGGTAGGACATTCTGCTTGTTTTCAGTTTGGGACTATTACAAACAGGGCTGCTCTGAAAAGTCATGTACAGGTGTTTGAGTGGATGTAAATTTTATTTTGGGGGGAGTAAATGTCCAGGAGTGGATTGCTGGGTCACTATATGATGTTTTAAAAGATTTATTCTGCATTGTGGACAATGGACTATAGAGAATCAGACTGGCAGCAGGAAGACAATCTATTTTCCAAACAGTGACTGAGTGACCCTTTTAAAATATAATCATGTCTCTCCACTGCCCTTTATTGTCTTTCTCCTCCATAGGGTAAAATCCAGAGTCTATGTAATTGCCTACTTAAGGCCCCTCATGATCTATAACCATCCCCTGCCTGTTGGACCTCATTCCTTCTACTCTCCCCCTCCCTCACTCTACTCCAGCCTCACTGGTCTTGAAGAGGCCCTAAGAGCCTGCCTCCAGATTCTTACTCTCCATCTTTCTTCTGCTTCAAGTGTTCTTTCTCCGCATGTCTGCATCATTCCCTACCTTATCTCCTCCAGTCTTAGCTCTGGCATCTCTTTTTCAGTGAGGTCCTCACTGATCACTCTATTTCTATCGCCACCCAGGCCCCCTCCACGCTCCGCATCTCCTTTCTCACGAGTACCTAGCACCATCTGTCATGTCGTATATCATATTTATATGTTGTTTGTTTCCTGTGTCCTGAATAGGGACTCCTTTGCGGGGGGGTGGGGGGGGGATTTTTGTCCGTTCTGCTCCCTGCCAAGTCCTCAGCATCCAGAACTAGCACAGAATAGAGGCTTGATGAACATCTGCTTAGTGCACAGATGACTTTAGGAGGCTCTGGTAGTAGTTTAGATGGGAGCTGAGATGAGTGGGGCTGGTGCAGTGGCCCTGAGTTTGGAAGAAATTTAGACATGTGCAGAACTTATTCAGGAAGGGGCCCATTCCGTTTTATACAGCTCCGAACGGCGGAAAGGTGTTCTTTACCTTGAGCCCAAATTTGCTTCTTCCAGCTGGTGGCCCTTGAGCTATTCAGAGGAAGTTTAATCCCCTCCCTTTCCTTCCTGTGACAGCTTCTAGGACCTTTTTAGAGTGGACACAGTGTTTTAAAGACTAGAAAAGAACAGTCATCTTTGATTTAATTACTATTTTTCTCCCTAGTAGGATTCCATATATTTATTAGAACTCTTTCAGTAGCCAGTGACAGAAACGCAATGCAAATGGAGTAGGGATTAAGATGCTTTTGGCTCTCATGATCTTGAAGACTAGAGGAATATCCGGGATAGAGCAGGCATGGATGCTCCTATGGTGTTATTAGGAATCTACCTCTCTCCATTTCTCGCCTCTGATTTTCCTTGTGTTTTTTTGTTCTCTGGCAGGCTCTTCCTTCGTAGTGTTCACCTGGCCATCAGCAGTTGTCACCTGTGTGGAAAGAGACCACCACTTTCCCATCGGCTCCAGCAAAAGTACCAGAATTGGCCATCATTGTCTAATTGGGTCAGGATAATGGGTTAGTTCATTTGTTCATTGACCCTTCCACTGTTACGAGCTGTTGGGCCTATTTCCCTTAAAGTGAAGGGAACTGAAGAACAAGGAATTGATGAAATTTCCCCAAAGTCACAAAGCAAATCACTGGAGGATTTAACTCAAGTCAAGGTTCTTCTGTTGAATCGAAGTAGCAAATATACCTTGTAAAGCTTAGTAAATTTGATCTTTTATTCTCCATTCTTCACTTTGGGCCAATTTCTAAAAGAATATTTCCCTCAAAGAACCGAAAGCACCCTGGACAGAAGTATGAGCTTGAGATATTTATGAGAATAAAGTTGGATATTAAAGACAGGAGGGAAAATGGTGGAAAGAAAAAAGTCATTAAGTGAAAGTTGAGGAGATGTGGTAACAAGCAAGTCAGATGGTGGGTTCAGTTTCTGAGAAGAGTCGGCAGGATCCTCCAGCAAGATGCATTCTACCCTCTCTTCATTTCTTTGTATGAGTATTGTACTGCAACAAGACAGGATGTGTTCATATTCTTACTCCAGAGTACCACAGGAGGACCAGCTTCCATGAAGAAGGTTCTGAAATGAGCCAGTGACATACAGTCTTAGACATCGGCAATTTGAGGTTTCCTGACATCACACATTAGACAATTTACTGGGATTTCTACAAGTTAATCCATGCCAAATGTCCGCAACCAAGAAAGCAGGTGGATTTGACTGATGTACTGGTTGTTTGGAGTATTCCATGGTTTGCTAACAAAGCTCCTGTAAGTACCCATTTCTGAAAAACAATAGAAATATGTTTTTGCTATAAAAATTATGATAATTTTCTAACTGACTTCTATAATATCCAGGCAGCTGGGCTTTTGGGATTTCTTTTCTAGGCTAGGAGAAAGGAAAGTTTGAGTTTTTGTTGCTCTTCTTTTGTCTTCAAAAGGCAGCTGGTAATAAACTTCATGTGTTGCCTAAAGATCAGCAATGACCCTTTAACCTACTCTTTTCAGGTTTTTCAAGCTTCTGGTCTCCCCCCCCGCCCCCCAGACAGCATCAAAGGTGAATGATTACAGAATCATAGACTTTTCTTTTCTGCAAGGGACGATGTTTGTTTCCTAGGGTTATCATAACCAAGTACCACCACCTGGGTGGCTTAAACCACAGGAAGTTATTGTCTCACAGTTCTGGAGGCAAGAAGTCCAAGAGCATGGTGTCAGCCAGATGAGTTCCTTCTGAGGGCTGGGAAGAAGAGTCTGTCCCACAACCCCCCCTTTGCTTCTGGTGGCTGGTTTGCTGGTAATCTCTGGTATTCCCTGGCTTGTAGAAGCATCACCCCGCCTCTGCCTTCATGTGCACATGGCGCTCTCTATGTATGCCTATGTGTGCCAGGTCCGGTTTGTGGTCCTTTCTCACTACAGCCCTAGGAAACTAATACATATGCCACATAGGTGGGTTATATGATTATCTCTGTTAACCAAACTGACTTTTGTCAGAAGGGTCAAGTGTTTGATTTTTTTTTTAACCTTTTTTTTTAAAAAAAGATTTATTTATTTACTTTAGAGTGGGGGTGGGCAGCAGCAGAGGGAGAGAGAGTCTTAAACAGACTCCGCGCTGAGTGTGGAGCCTGACACAGGGCTTGGTCTCACCACCCTGAGATCAAGACCTGAGCTGAAACTGAGAGTCAGATGTGTAACCGACTGCACCACTGAGGTGCCCCAAGTGTTTGATTTTTTTTTTTTTAAACAAGTCTATTAGAACTTGAATGATTATATATATATATATAGACAGAAGACCAATGCACACAGTAGATATGCACACTTGCACAAACAGTGGGTTCCCATGAGGCCACAGAACATAGGGCCAATGTGTAAGTAATGTTAAGAACATTTGCCTTTGATGGGGCACCTGGGTGGCTTGGTCGTTGTCTGGCTTTGGCTCAGGTCATGATCCCAGGGTCTTGGGATCGAGCCCTGCATCAGGCTCCCTGCTCAGCGGACAGTCTGCTTCTCCCTCTCCCTCTGCCTGCAGCTCCCCCTGCTTGTGTTCTCTCTGTCAAATAAATAAATAAAATAAAATCTTAAAAAAAAGAAAAAGAACAGGGCCTTGATCATTCCCATCCTATCCTTGGAGATGTCCACTGTGCTTTAAGCACAGCGCAGGAGATACCGAGGGAGAGTTACACAGGGCTAAAACATCCGTGCCTTTTCCAACTCCCTGGCATAGTCAGAGCACAAGTTATTCTAGTTGAATCAAACATAAAAATCATCAAAAACATGTATAAATATATTTTTAGTCAGCCAAATTTAATCTTGGCTGACTTAACCTTGGTTGGGAGAATTTTGAGAAAAATACTGATGCCCAGGCCCTTCCCCAGACCAATTAAAACAGGATCTCTGGGGCAAGACCTTGGCCTTGGTGTTTTAAAAATCTCTTCTTTAAAAGTCTCTTTATGAGCAAGCAGGGTATGTTGCCGTCTTCCCAAAGACAGACTAAGTTACTGCAGTTAGAGGGTAATCACATTGGCCTGAAGTCCAGGCTAAGTGGGGCGTGAAAAAGAAAGAAATGGATTAAAATCAGGAGATGATTCAAACTAGCAAGACGACAGGTTTATCGGGTATAACAGAAACTCAGTACTCTGTAAGAGAGGGAAATACATTCAGCTCAGGCAGGCACCTTCTGGGAGAGGTCAAGGCAGTGACTTAAACTTTTAGTCTTATATTATATGACTCTTTTGGTTGCAAGAGACAGAAATCCACTCAAACCAGATGAGCACAAAGGGGATATTTATTGGCTCATTCAACTCAGAAGGATGCTAAGGTATCTCACAGGAAGGAAGAAAAGACTGTAGGAATTAGAGTCTTTGAGATTAGAAAAGGGCTCACTGATTCCAGAATTTTCTCTCTCTCCACCCTACTCATCTCTCCATGTTGCTGGAAAGATGGCATCCAGCACACACAAAGTGTCATCTTCCCAGCTTGAAATCCACAACAGGAAAAACTGTCACATGCTATCCCTGGACTTGTCTTTTATTGCTTGGGAGAGAGAGTTCTGTTATATTCTGGGTCTGGATCACAGGGCCCCCCCAGAACCGCACATCAGGAAGTGCTTCCCTAAGGAAGGGATGCTGAGTAGACTAGAGCCAACTGCTCTCTTGGAGAGCAAACTAATAGCCCTCTTTCAACCTTTGATAAAAACCATTTCTGTGGGATAAAAATGTTCCCCTAAATCAAGGAAAAAGCCTTCTTTGGAATTGTAAGGGAAAAACGAAATGACAAAGGAAGACAATCTCGAACGTCAAAAGTCAGTTTTATACTTTACTATCTCTCTTTTCTAGTTGGTGAAATTTAGGAGGATTGATCTGGACTTGTTTGTTCACGGACAGATACACCTGTGCAAACAATGAGTTGACTTGACTTGCAACACAGTCTGCTCTGTAAAGCAAGTAATGTATTTTCTGTAATATGCATGACAGCAGCTGTTACTTAGCTGTTACTTTCCCTTTAATGAAAGAGCTCAGTGGTTTTGTTCTGTATTTTTTTTTTCCTCCTCCAACTGGGATTCCAGGCTTCTCAAGAAAAAGGTCATTTACGAATCCAGAAGATAAGAGCAGATGCAGGGGTGTGACTCCTGCCTAGCAGACCACCCGTGTTGAACCTCTGGGGGCATTTGTTTTCAGCCCATTGACACTGATCATAGGTGTTTGGGATTTCCAAGAACATAGATACGGTTTCAAGTGTAGATTTTTTTTTTTTTTTTTTAATGGGGTCAAGTTGAAAGAGATCCAATTTTTTTTCCCCGAGGAACTTGTAAGCTGCTCCGTGTTCCAGGGGTCTCATTTTCGCCAATAAAAGGGTAGCACGAGTGTTATTCTGAAAAAGAAGTCTGAGTGGCACAATGTAGAATTAGGAAGTTGTAGGCTGCGCTAACTCCATTATCCGTGTGTCTTAGAAGCTGGAGAACGTAGAAGTTAGGAGCATGAACTCTGGAGCTAGTCACTTGGGCTTTATCTTGGCTCTTCCATTTAACAGTTCTCTGTCCTTGTACCAGTTAGCCTTCAGTATCTTGGTTTCCCTGTTTATAAAATGGGGATAATAATAGTACCCACTTGGCAACATTGTTCAAGGAATAAATACATGGCACATAAATAGAATCTGGCATGGAGAAAACACTCAGTAAATCTTAGTTCTTATCATTGTCTTCATCATCATTAGATAAAATCAAATGAAATCCTTTGTGTAGATCTTAATCCCAGACAGCTGCCTGTGGGAGGGATCTTTGTGGCTTAGGCTAGTCTGCTGGCCTCACTCTAAAACTGTGAAGAGCCTAGACGTTCAAACCAGCACCGCTGGACCCAAGTTTAGGTTCCACCACTTATTGGCTCTGAGAGGATGGTCAAGTTGTTGCCTCTGGGCAGATTAGGCATACCTCTGAGTCCCATTTCCCTCAATTCTGAACCCTGGAAAACCACACTGAACTCCCTGGTCGGCTGGCTGGGCAGATGGAGGAGGCCATATTTCCCAGCAGCCCCAAGCCCGAGGCCCTGCATCAGTGGGCAGCCCCCAGCTCAGATGTACTCTAGCTCTCCTTTCCGTCCACTGGTAATGTTTCAGTAAATGGAAGACACCCTACAATGCACTGTGACTTGTTTTTAAGTCTCCCATTTGGTCCCTGTCTCATTCTCAAATCTTTGTTATTCTGGATTTCAGGAAATAGTTCAGTTGCCAAAACTGGTTGAATGAGCTACTTTCAAAATTAGTCAAGTGATACAAAGTACTGTTTTTAGGGTGGTTCTAGCAATTCCCCATCATGGAACCACTGTGTAAGAGAGTATTTTGACAAAAGGGTAGGATTTAGAAAATTCACATTATGAGAACTCAGGAAAATCCCTGTGTCCTATAAATCTCTTCCCTTCCTAAACCAGAGCATCAAGATAAATCAAGAGATGGACCATCATCAAGTCACTTTACATGGAGGTATCCAAAGATAGAAATTTTAAATTTATTATTCTTACTCACTTCAACAGTGAGGTCTCCTGTCTTGGGCTACTGGTTTAGTCCTATCTGGATGGACTGTTTTTAGGGTGGTTCTAGCAATTCCCCATCATGGAACCACTGTGTAAGAGAGTATTTTGACAAAAGGGTAGGATTTAGAAAATTCACATTATGAGAACTCAGGAAAATCCCTGTGTCCTATAAATCTCTTCCCTTCCTAAACCAGAGCATCAAGATAAATCAAGAGATGGACCATCATCAAGTCACTTTACATGGAGGTATCCAAAGATAGAAATTTTAAATTTATTATTCTTACTCACTTCAACAGTGAGGTCTCCTGTCTTGGGCTACTGGTTTAGTCCTATCTGGATGGCCTCAGGTTCTAACCTTAGCTATTTAATTTCAACTCAGTTCAGTAGCTCATGTTTATGGATAAATGAGCAAAACAGTAAAGATCCAAAGCAAAAAATAGAATTACTATGGAATTCAATATTTCAGAAGCCGGAGTCGGGTAAATGTTAGTGAAGTGTAGCATTCAGAACGAAAGGCCCTCACTTATGATAATGCGCCTAACAAGGAAATGAGATTGACACAGCAATTCTCTGTTTTTCTTGTCCCCTGAGGTTAGAGATTATGCAGTGCGTGTTTCTGTTTTTAGCTTCTTTGGTAATTCCTATGGTGAGAGACTACACTCTGCATATTTGTCAGGGTTGCACTCCTGTTAGGTGCTGGGTCTTTGAGGTAGTGCAGGAAACACTGTTCGCATCTGAGCCTTGAGCGTC